CCAGCATTGTGGAGGGGGGTTCCCATCTGCCCCCCACACTCTCAGCCGGGTGGGACCTGCAAATTGTGCTCTGTTGGGCTCCAGCGCTCCCCAAGGCCTCTTGCTGCCCCCAGAGGGCCTGGACTGGGCTGAGCCAGGTGTGTGCATGAGGAGAGCAGTGAGGGGGCTGTCCAGATTGCACTCGACCTTCTCCCCGAGGCACGTCCCTCCAGCCCGCTCAGCGTAAGGGGATGCTGCCCCAGTGGCTCCCAGCCCCAGGCCAGGAGAGGAGCAGGTGGCTCAGGGCTTTGGGCTGGCCAGGCTTTGCCTTGGGTGTACCAGGAGCAGATGGGCAGGATCTAGCCACGTCCCCCCCCCAGTGTCTGCCGCTAGCTGCACCAGCTCCAGGGCTCGGTGCCTCTGGAAATCTTACCCCAGGGAACGGCCGAGACGCTGCAGGGCTCTCAGGTGCCAGGCACATCTCGTGCTCTCAGGGCACGCCGCGGAGGGCTGGACGGCGCTGCTGCTGCCCTGTGGGAACTCACACAGCCCGGGAAGCAGGGCAGACGAAAGCCAAGCGCCCACAGCGCCCGGGAGGGGCAGCTGCCCCCAGGCTGAGTTAATCCCTCCCAGGCTGGAATCTCGGCGACAGATGGTGTGAGAGCGGCGAGGGACGTCCCTGCTCACACGCCCAGGGCTCTGGTCCCGGCACTGGGAGGGCAGGCAGCACAGCAGCTCTTTGGGGGGGGGGGGGTCTGGTGGAGGCAGCTAAAGGGCCAACACACCTGCCAGGGAAACTGAGGCCAATGAATCTGACTTCTTGGGTTTGGGTCTCTGCTGCCCCCTTGTCACCCCTACTCCCAACCCCCCCCCCAAACAAAGGGGCTGGGCCTGCTCCCATGGTGGATCCTACTTTCGTGTCCAAGGCTGGCTCTCTGCAGGGTGAAGTGGGCTCTCCTATCTTCAATGGCACTGCCTAGCCATGCATGATCTAATTTGCATATGCATATTAACATGGTGAGGGCCAGAGGAAAAGTTTTGACCATTGTCCCCCTGGCCTGGCCCACCTGAAGACCAATTGCCCTCCCAAGCTGGTGCAAGGTGGATACCTGGGAGGTAGCCCAGCTAGTGCAGCCACCTCTGGGGCGGAGCGTGGCAGCTGCTGCGCAGTAAGGAATGACACTGAGACCTTGTGAGGTCTCTTTCAGCCCATGGATTCGATGCTGCTGCCCCAGACCTGAACACCCCAGTGGAAACCACAGGAGTCTGGGGAGCCGGCCCAGGTTGAAATGTGGCCGGGCCACACGCCAGAACTTGCCCTGTGGCTAACTCGGTGTTTGGGAGGCAGCGCTGCCAAGGGGCCAGGAACCAGCCAGGCCGGGTAATCCGGGGGGGAGTTCCAGCTGAGGGCTCAGCCGACTTCTCTTCTAGGGCTTCTCTCTCTGCCTTGAGCCTTCAGGCACCCTTGGGCTCTCCACGTCCCACCCCCCACAGAGAATCCAGGGGCCAGGACTCCTGGGTTCTATTCCCAGCTCTGCCCTGGACTCACCACATGACCTTAAGTGAGTCACTGCCCCTTTGTGCCTCAGTTTCCCCCGGCTGTATGGGAGTCATGCCAACAGCTCAGCCAGCGGAGTCATACCAGCTTCTGGCACCACCGCTCCCAGGTGCAGGGCACCCCCTGGGGCAGAGCAGCGACTGGGCTGTGCTGAACAGGCCCGTAATGTGACGCTGCCACCACGTGCCCTGTGTCAAAGTCCAAGCCGCTCAGGCAGACGTGGGAGACCAAGGTTCAAGTCTCTGGGCCTTCCCCAGCTCAGCCAGGCTCCTGGCCCCCTGGGCAAGAAAGGGTCGGAATCTCCCCCCGCCAGCCTCCCTGCGGACCACCACAGAGCCACACTTGAAACCTGCAGTAACAGAACTGCCTTCAGCTGGCCCCCGCCTGCCCACCGGCTCCACCCTGCCCACCCCATAGCCAGCCAAAACACAGCCCCTGCCCCAATGCCCAGCAACCCTCGCGGCCACAGCACATTCCTTTGCCAGTCTCTTGCCCGTCGGACACACGGTCTGCAGGGCTCTGCCAGCCCCCACTGCCCAGTCAGTGCATTGGCCCCGGGGCCCCCTCCCCCCGCCCCAGCAGAGCTGCAGCCACATTAGTGGGTTTAGGAAATAAGAGGATTGAGGGAGGGTGCCTCATAAAGGGCTTTTGTGGAGGAAAAAGCATCTGTGAGCAAACCGGACACAGCTGCTGGCCTCCGCCGGAAAGCACCAGGGGAAAGCGAGGCTGGAGTTACCCCGGCGGCCACTGAACTAGGCATGTAAGCGAGTAGTCGAGTACTCGACTATCCAATAAGCTGAAGTTTGCTTCCCCTGCCCTTGCTGCCTCTGTGAGAGAGGCAGCAAGGGGGGAGGGCAGGAGCCGGCTCAAAAGCTGGGTCCCACCCTCCTCTCCCCCAGCACTGTTTCAGCAGGGAGCAGGGGAGGCAGGGGCACTGGGGATTGAAACAGTCCCGGCTGCGGACTGTGGGCGGCTCTTGTACATTTCAGTGGGGGAAATGGCAACACTTTCAAAAAAGCAAATGGAACATTAGAGTCATTAAAAGGGATAGAGACTAAGACAGAGAATATCTTATTGCCTCTGTACAAATCCATGGTAAACCCACCTCTTGAACGCTGCGTACAGATGCGGTCGCCTCATCCCAAAAAAGATCGATTGGCATTGGAAAAGGTTTAGAAAAGGGCAAGAGAAATGCTGAGGGGTTTGGAACGGGTCCCATATGAAGAGAGATTAAAAGGACTTGGACTTTTCAGCTCAGAAAAGAGGAGACTGAGGGGGGATAGGATAGAGGTCTATAAAAGCATGAGTGGTGTGGAGAAAGTGAATAAGGAAAAGTGATTTCCTTATTCCCACAACATAAGAACTAGGAGTCACCAAATGAAATGAATAGGCAGCACGTTTAAAACAAACAAAAGGAAGTTCAGAGTCAACCTGTGGAACTCCTCGCCAGAGGACGCAGTGAAGGCTAGAACTTTAACAGGGTTCAAAAAAGAGCTAGATAGATTCATGGAGGTTCGGTCCATCCATCAATGGCTATTCGCCTGGTGTCCCTGGCCTTTCTGCAGGTGGGCACTAGGGGAGGGATCACATGAGGATTCCCTGTTGTGTTCCCTCCCTCTGGGGCCTCTGGCACTGGCCACTGTGGGCAGACAGGACACTGGCCTAGATGGACTTTTGGTCCGACCCCGTCTGGCCGCTCTTATGTAGAGGCTCAGCAGGATAGCAAGTGCCCCCCTCATCGACTAATCGACAGAAATTCCATCGACTACTCGATTAGCCGATGAATAGAAATGTAACATCCCCAGCTGGGGATTACAGGGGCGGGTGCCCCCAGCCGGTGCCCCCTCGCCCCGGGGGGGGTGCCCCCGGCCAAGCACGCTGGTAAGCGGAGGGGGCAGAGAGGAGCCGAGGACGAACAGCAGGAAAGGCTGCGCTGCAACTCCCGATGGGCACAAGCCCAGGGAAGCCATCTCCACGGGGAACAATTCTTTAGTCCTGGGCTCCATCCCGCAGAGGGGCTGCCAGACACATGGAGATGGGAAAGGCTCCATATTTACAGAGACCGTAATTAACCAGGGGGAGCTTTCCCAAGGGGCGGGCAGATCGTCTGTCCCTGTCATTTGCTCCCAGCTCTGTCCAAGACAGGACTCAGGGGCCGAGCGGCACAGGGCAGAGCCCAGAGGGCCCTTCCAGCCTTGGAATCCAGGAGAGCTGGTTTCCGGCAGAGCTCAGAGGCCACCGTGATGGGCACAGTCCCAGGTATATGTGTCCGACACTGCCCCAAACCCCATTCCCCACTCCCTACAGGCTGGGATGACTGTCTGCAAACTGCAGTGTGCCAGTGGGGCTGGGTTCAGGGGCCAGTGATGTCACAGGGAGCCAGGCAGAGTACAAGCTATTCTGCTCAGGCATGGGGCCCTGAGGGTTGGGGGCCCCCCAGCACCTGCCCCATTTGGCACCTGGGCAGTCAGCTGCCCCAGCCTTGTCCCATGGCAAAACCTTCCCCCAGCTCTAGGGTCCTGCCCCAACCCCGACTGCTCTTCCCTCTGCCTATGCATTATAAGGCCCCACACTCTTGCCTGGTCCAGGCAGGGACCTGCAGGGCTCCTGCCCCATGGTTCTCTGCCACCCCAATGCAGCAGCCTGCACCCCCCTCTTCCCAAGGGCCACGGCCAGCAAGAGACCGGACCACAGGGGCCCTGGCAGGGAGCTAAGGCCCAGCAGGAGAGGCAGCATGGCTCTCTGGCTGCACAACTCCTGGAGGGAGACTAAGACCCAGCAGAGGAAGCGCCCCCCCCCCCCAAGTCCACTGCGTGACAGAGGCAGATCAAAGCCAGGTTTTACATCACTGCGTTTATTCCCAGCCCACGCACATGCCAACGGCTGCGTCCGACAGGCCCCGCAGGCTCCGTCCATGCTCAGCAGCTGCTGCAAGACAGTCTTATCCCCGAGGAGACTGCCCACCCCTAAAGGCACCAGCTTTGAAGCCTCCCTCCCCAGGAATGGATTGGCTCCGGTTGGGAACCTGTGGCAGACGGGTGCAAAGCTCACCCTGCCAGCCCCTGCGCCCTGCACGCTCCCTCTGCTACACGCTGGCTGTGACCTACTGCTGGGAGACCCCATGGCAGGGCCATGAGGGGCCCCCGACCCCTCTGCCCACAGGCCAGGGCTCAGAGAAGGCAGCTGTAGCAGGGGTTAGCTGGGCCCTCACTGGCATGGGGGCATGGGGTCTGCCACCAGCGCCCGGGCCAGAGGGAAATGCTGCAGGGCAGCCCGGCGCTGTGCAAAGCCAGGCTTGTGCAAGGCCCAGAGCTCTCCTGCTCTCAGGCAGAGGGGCTGGGCCGAACAGGCAGAGGCTTTGGCTCTTGCTTGCTTGTTCCTGGAGTGACGCGCAGGCTCCCCCGCTGCGAGGCGCCACCCGCAGGGCTGCAGCCAGGTCCCAAGCAGCCGCTACCTCCCGGGGGGGCCTGAAGCTGCTGCAGACCCAGCCGCACCCCAAGCACCTCAGCGAGGCTCTGCCCTGGGCCCCAGCACAGACCCTGAAACCCCCCTCCTCACCCGGGCTTGGATCTGGGCTGCCAGCCCATCCCAGGGACCCCAAGAAACAAGCTGCCTGCTGGCCCCACCCAGGGCTCTGCGTGCGGACCCATGCAGATCTGGCTTCCCACCCAGGGGCAAGCGGCTGTGCAGGGCAGGGCCGAATCCAGCCTTGGATCCCCCACCCAGGAGCTGCCCCCAGCACACACCCAGCTCCCCGCCAGGACCGGGGCAGGCCCCTGCTCAGCCTGAGGCCTGCAGCTTGCTCAGCCCGTCGGCGTACTGGAATTCGGGGCCGTTGGCGTAGGCGTACATGTCCAGGGCCACCTCGCAGCTCTCCCTCACCACCCGCTCCTCGTCGTGGGCAAACGCCCGCAGCGTCTCCAGGCAGGACCCCCCGGCGATGGAGCCCAGCGCCTCGGCACACTCGTGCCGCACCATGGGGTTCTCCGACACGCTCTCCAGCGCCGCCGTCAGCTGGGGCACGCAGGCCTCGTGCTGCATCTGGCCCAGGACAAAGCCGATCTCGTGGCGGAAGAGGGCGCTGCCGCACGCCAGGCCTGGGGAGAGCGGGAGGGTTGGAGCAGGTACGGCAAGGAGGTGCCCCAAAGGATTGTGGGATATTGGGCCCCACCCTCCCCACAGACCTGGCACAGGGACACGACTGCTCACAGGCGGCCCAGAGCGAGCTGCGGGGGGGCTCGGCTGCTCAGAGGTTAAACACGGCAGGTGCAGCCCGGACCCTCCGGTTGGCAAGTTCAAGTCCAGGGGGAACAAGGGGGCTCAGCCAGGCTCTGCCGGGGCAACACCACAGCACCCAGCCCATGGACCCAGTCGGGAAGCTGGAACCACGTGTAGAGGGGAGCTGAGGGCCACTGAACCAAACAATAAGCCCTGGGTCGGATGGAAACTCCTTCCAGACAGGGGGTGCTACAGCCCCCCCCTCCGGTTGGCAAGTTCAAGTCCAGGGGGAACAAGGGGGCTCAGCCAGGCTCTGCCGGGGCAACACCACAGCACCCAGCCCATGGACCCAGTCGGGAAGCTGGAACCACGTGTAGAGGGGAGCTGAGGGCCACTGAACCAAACAATAAGCCCTGGGTCGGATGGAAACTCCTTCCAGACAGGGGGTGCTACAGCCCCCCCCCCCCCAAGTTCCAGCACCTTTGGACTCAGCGGCCCTGCAGGGGTCCCTCCGAGCAGGGCTAAGGCACAAGAGCTGGGGATGGGGGAGGCTCTTGCCCGATGCAGGCTTGGGCCTTCCAGGGTTGCCAGTGCAGCCTCCTCAGCACCAACCCCGCAGGAAGGGGCCCCATGGGGGGGCAGGTTCCGGGCAATGAGCCCCGAAGGTCTTTGCAGTGGATTTGGCCCCAGAGGGGCCCACTCAGCTCTGCTCATCCCTAGCGGGGTCAGACCTGCCTGGGGCCACAGCCGGCCTGGCCTAGGCTCTGCAGGTCGGGCCCTCCTGCGGGCCTCTGCCCTTTGCATGCTGAACACCGGCAGCCGGACTGGGGGGAGCGGTGCCCTCTGGTGTCAGCTGTGGGTGCACAGATGGAAGCGCGGTGCCAGGGGCTGATCCTGGGGGTAAGTGGGTTCAGCTAGTGGGGGGAGGAGGCAGGCATGGCCCTAGAACAGCAGTTCTCAGCAAGGATCTCCCCAAAATGGGAAGGGCAGACCTGCCCCAGGAAGCTCTAGTGCCCACCAGAGGGGGCAGAACACAAGTGGAGCAGAGATTAGACTGTTCGGTGGCGATTCCCGACTCTGACCAGCCCGCGCTTTCTGAGAAGGCGTCAGGCACTGGCTGGACAAATAGAAAGAGTCTCAGCCCTGAAGGTTCCAAACCAACAGGGAGGGGAAACTGAGGCATGGAGCAGGGAAGTGATTTACTCCAGGTCACCCAGCAGGTGAGTAGCAGGGCTGGAATAGAGCCCAGGCCTCCGCAGTAGCAGTGTGGAGCTCTGCCCACTGGCCCACGCTGCCGGGCCTGCACAGGGAGTGGGGCCAGCCAAGGAGACAAGCTGTCCCCTTCCGTGGCCCTGGGTTCCAGCTGCACAGAGCCACTGTTGGCTGCAGTCTGGTGCCATGGAGGATCCTGAACTCTGACATGGTGCCCTGGGCCGGGGGGAGGGGGAGGGACTGTGGGCTCTCCCATCCAGCAGGGAGCTGCAAAGGCTCCAGTGGGGCCGAGTGAGGGGGGGCGCAGGGAGGGGCCACGTCTGCTCAGGGAGCGCTGTGAAAGGTGCCCTGTCCCTGGGTAGGTTAGGCACCACCTAGGGCGCCCCCTGGTGGATGATGCTGGGAACAGCAGGGATACAGTCCAGTGCTCTACCCCTCCTAGGGCACAGTAATGCCCGCCGGCCCAGGGATCCCGGGGCAGAGGGGGAGAAGCCAGAGCATCGGCTATCCAGGGCTCTCTCACCATCAGCCAGCGCCAGCGCTGCGGCCTTGCCCCCCACGTTCCTCAGGGCGAACATGGCGCGGTATCGATCGAACAGCGGGCGCGACTCGTCCAGCAGCGTCTCCCGCAGCTTGGCCACGTCCTTCTCCTCATCCGGGGGCGCTGGGTCCAGGGGTCGTCTTTGTTCTTCTGCAGCCATTCGAGCCTCTTGACCGCCAGCTGGCAGGTCTCAGCTACCTGCGGCAGAACAGGGCAGAGACATCTTTGCTGGGGTCTCCTGGAGAAAGCAGAGTTCCACCAGCTAGGCAGCAGCATCTACTGGTCAGAGCACAGGACTGAGACTCCAGCTCCTGGCTCCATTCCCAGCTCTGCCACCGACACTCTGCAATACCACCCAGTCACATCCCCCTCTGTGACTCAGTTTCCCCACTGGCACAACAGCTCTGTTAAGCCTCACCCGAAAGGAGCGATAGCCCTGCCAGCACTCAAACACACAGCTCCGATCGTCTGCTTCCACGAGGTCTGGCTGTCCAGTGAGATTTACTAGGGCAGGAACCGTTTCTTCTTATGCCTTAGGGCAGGGTCACTGGGTCTTCCATGTACAAAGAACCCCCTACTGGGACCAGTTCAGTTCCTGGTTGACAGGATTCCCAATAGCAGTACCACCGGAGCTATGTATATTGAATGCCCCAGACAGGGCCCCTTCAGGGTGGGGAGAACCCGCACTGCCAGCAGGACTCGGGCTGTTATTCACACAGGCATGTCCACCCCTCAACAGAAGTCCTTCAGTGACTGCCGGCCTCACATTGCCACCTGGGCACCCAGCAACACAACAGAGTCTAGCAGAGATCAGGCCCCCAAGGGGTCAGGCACTGGATGGACAAATAGGAAGAGTCTCTGCCCTGAAAGGTTGCAGTCTCAACAGATCAAGAGGAAGGGGAAACTGAGGCACGAAGCAGGGGAGTGATTTTCCCCAGGTCACCCAGCAGGTGAGTAGCAGGGCTGGGAATAGGGCCCAGGCCTCCGCAGTTACAGTGCGGAGCTCTTCCCACTGGCCCACACTGCTGGGCAGTACAATCCGCACCGACAGCTTCCAGTGGCAGGGGAAGGCAAAAGAAGCTTTACCTCAATCACCGGATCTGCTGAATAACGCCTCAGAACATCCAGTACCTGGGGGTTCCCGATGGCTCCCAGGGCTTCCCCTGGAACACAGAGCAAGGGCGCGGCTAAGCCAGCTCCGGGGGGCAGTGCTAGCAGAGGCAGGTCATTGCACTGGGAGCTTGGCTGTGCTGCAGTCCTCTTTACGGAGGCCTTGCCCCTCCCCTCGGGCAGGGGGACACAGCCCTGGCGCGCGCCGGGCTGCAGCACTCCTAAAGAGCGACAGCGAGTTCGGAAATGGGGAGGGAAACGCAGCACGCGGCGCTGTCCGAGGGTAGGAGGCAGCCTCGGGCCAGCACCGAGGAGACGTCTGCCGCATCCCCCCACACAGCGAGTTCGGCATTGACCCTGGGGCCTGGATTCAGCGTACACACCCACCACATGGGGTCTGCTCTAAGGGTGTTAACTAATCGACTATCCGATAAGCAAATGCTTATCAGATAGTCAGTCAGTCGATTCCCCCTCTCTTGCTGCCTCTATCAGACAGAGGCAGCAAAGGGGGGGGGAAGAGGGTACTTCAAAGCAGCAGCCTTGCACAGCTGAGCCGGGGAACAGCTGTGCAGTGCCCCTTTGAAACACTGGCAGCACCATGGAGCCTGAGGTCAGCTGGGAATTCCCCAGCTGATCCTGGGCTCAGCGCAGCATTTCAGGGGAGTCCCCAGCTGACCCGGGCTTGTGGTGTAGTGTCAGTACCTTGCTGGTTGCTATGCTTGGGCTGTCTGGAAGCAGGCCCAGCAGGGGATACCTTGATGCCCCCAGGACAGTGGCCAAACTGGTTCTACGGGTTAAGGGAAGAGAGGGAACAAAGGAACTGTGTGTTGGGGGAGGGGCAGTCTTGGGCTGGAACCACGAGGGAGGGAGACTAAGGTTGCTGGGGCAGAGGGCTGGGGTGACGGACCCCTAACCCAAGGGGTCTGAAACATCCTGGCCCCAAATCCTGTAATCACACCATGTCTATGCTGTGCTGTATCCTGGAGGGGCATCCTCTATTCTATTGCTGGTGGAATCTGTTCTTGCTGCTATAGGGGTGCAGGATGGGGGGAACCCCGACTGCGTCGGCACAGGGCTCCATGGCTTTGAAATGCACAAGAGCCCCCGCCGAGGCACACTGCGTGCAACCTGGCACCAGGCCCCTTGTGGCATTTCAAAGCAGCAGCGCCGCTTGGAGCATGGGATCAGCTCGTGCTGCGCTGCCCCTTTGAAATGCAGGTGGAGCCTGGGATCAGCTGGGGCTCTTGTGCATTTCAAAGCGGAAGTGCCCGCGTGGAGCCCGAAGTCAGTGAGACTTCCCACTGGCCCTGGGCTCCACGTGGCATTCCAACTTTGAATGCACAATGGGGCTCTTGTACATTTCTAAGATGGAACGCGCAAGTGCTTATCGACTAGTTGAGTAGTTGATGGAAATTCCATCGACTAGTCAATTAACCGCAGTTTAACACCCTTAGTCTGCTGCACTGGGCACCTGGCTGTGCAGGGAAGTTGGAGCCGCGCTCCCTGCATTGCCAGCCACTGCACGGGAGGGAGTTGGGAAGATCGCGCAGGGCAGCCCTGGGGTGCCAGCCAGCACAGAGCTGGAAAGAGGCTGAACTAGGAGAACGCCGACACAGGCACAAGCTGTGACTCTCAGCCCTAGCTTCACCCATCCCTGTCCGGCTCGGGCTGGACCGGCAGGGGGCTCTAGGGAGGGGGAGCAGGCCAGACCCACGAGCCAGCACTGAGCTCTCATACCTGCTTCATGGCGCACCATGGGCTCCTGGCTGGCGTCCTGCAGCACGCGGACCAGGCAGGGGATGGCACGTTCGTCCTGCATCTGCCCCAGGCAGTACGCCAGCTCGTGCTTTAGGAGGGCAGACTCGTCCCCGAACGCCCGGCTGATCCAGTCGATGGCAGCGCGGCCGCCCACGTTGCGCAGGGTGAAGAGGGCTCGGAAGCGAGTCTTCAGGGGCTGCGTCTCATCCACCAGCGTCCGGCCAATGGCCTCCACTTCCTCCTCAGTCACCATGGCACCTGCGCACTGGGGGTCTCCGGCTCGCAGCAGTTTCTCTACTCCTCAACCAGCAGCTCCCACGAACCAGGCGTAGCCAGCACCTGGCCACGAAAGAGAGGGGTCAGGACTCCAATACTCCGGGCTACATCAAACTCCACAGCCAGCCACGTTTTCACACATGCACTACCAGGGTTGTGTGGCTAGGACCAATGTCACTACTAATCTTTTCCATCCATGTGCAGTATAAATTTTTCTATGCACCAAGGGAGGTGTGAATGTGCACCACCAGAAGAAACACAAACCTAGCTGTGAGCACTCTGCTAATCAGCTGGGTGGCCCTGGAATCTCTCTTGAGCCACCCCACAAGCCCTCAGTGAACACTGGATGGGACACCGCCGCTTGTTACAGTCATGTTTAACCCGTTTGTATCTGGGGGATGGGGGACTTTCTGTAGCATCCTCCCTGTAACTCAAAAACCACCAGAGTTAACTTGTGTTAAAGCCCAACCACAAATTCAAGAGTCGACCTAGGATGTTTGCCAGTCAGGGAGCTAAGGCAGAACACAGGAGTGCAGACCTGCAGCAAGCACAGAGCAAAGACAGGGTCCCGGCTTGGCTTAGGGGAGCAGGCCTGGCCAAAGAGTTTTCAAGGCCCAAGGCAGCGCGAGTGAGCGGCCCTGGGTGGGGGGGTGGGGCGGAGCCACAGGGCTCCCAATCAGGGCAGCGAGTGAGCGGCCAGGCGGGCAGTGCTGGGAGCCGGGCAGCATGGGGCCCTAGGCAAGCACCTCACTCACCTTGCCCAAAGGCCAGGCCTGGAGGGGAGGCATGCTGGGAAATCAGAAGGGGAACTTATTACCCAGCTGGGGGTGGCGGGGGAGAGATTTTCCATGCCCAGGCAGAGCAGTAGGCACGGCCCCAGACACAGTCACCAGGGTCAGGCGGCAGACTCAGCCGCCCACATGGTGCAGGCTGCAGCGGGCTCAGAAACACACCCGGGGGATGTCAAATATCGGTGAATTCAACAGTCGATTCACCCCATGAATTCTTACCGGTTACTGGACTGTTCTATGGCCCCCAGGGGTGGGGCCAACAGCCAGTGTGCTCCCGGGGAGCCCCCTGGCAGCCGCCCACCTGCCTCTGCATCAGCTCCCCTCTCTC